GTGTTGTAATGATTTTCTGGGCACTTCTGCCTGACATATTGAGTAATTTAACAGTTTTTCTGATTTCAACATGGATCATTTTTTTTCCACTTTCAGAGCTGTGTTGGTTGCCTCGGGTTGCTTTGAGCACTCGCAGATCAAAGTGCTGATTAAAGAAAGCGTTCGACTGAATGTAATGCACCTTTGCAAATATGATTAATTCAGAATTAAAGCTTCTTTTTTTTTCTTCTTAAATCTAAGACTGTTGATGCAGAGCGGTGTGCGTGAGGCTTCCTATCACTATCATCAAAAGCTTTGATGATAACTGACTCGGCTCTGCGGATTAGAGTTCCCACCCCCACAATAAAGACACTCCTGAGCTTTGCTTTGAAAGGGAATTGTTAATCAGGTGTGGCACGTCCTTGATGCCCTTTGCCTTTAGTGATGAGATTCAAAAACCTCCACGTTTAAATGTCCCAAACTCGAGTATCAAAACTGAAAAACCCAGACTCCCACGTTGCTTCCTTCTTGTCCTTGTCAGGGTTACTTCTGTTACTTTCAAACAACAAATAATTCCAGCCGTGTTTTCTGTTTTTTTTTTATTGGGCTGAAGTATGAGACAGCTTTAAAAAAAAAAAAGAAAAAGAAATTAAAAAAAGGAAGAAAGCCTCAGAGCCAGAGTGCTATCTAAATGAGGCATAATAGATGTGAGAGTGACATAACGGCGTTGAAGGGATGTAAGCAGCCTGACAGGAACATCGCTTCTAGCAACTTCTGTGTTGCATTAGTGATGATTTTCCAGGAGAAGCGGCTCACAAAGAGTCTTCAGATCGCTCCTCCCGAGCCCCGGCCAAACCCTGGAAGAAGAAAAAAAAAAAAGCCCCCAAAACAAGAAGAGGCCATGTGCACGACACGGCTTCCACACATTGTTATTCCTCACCCACCCTCAACGCAGGCCAAATCCCCCCCCTTCCTCACTCCCTCACCCGACATGTCTAAAAAAAATATATAGGTCAATTTGGTTCTAAAAATGGCCGTCTCTCCCTGGGGCTTGCCAGTGCATGAAATAGACTTTACATCACGTTAGCCAAGAAACTTTCCTTTCCTGTTTTTTTTTTTTAAATCGTCCGTTGCTCATTTTTCATCTCCTTTTGTCGCCGTAATCTAACATATGGCGCCTTCTCTCACTCTCCCCCTTTTTTTTATGACCTGAATAAGATATCAGCAGTTTGCCAGGTTGGGAAGATGACAGGCGACGCTGAAGTCATGTCGAGATTTAGATAATATGGTTAGCAGAAGACTCTACAATGCTTTCCCCCCCTCCCTCTGCTGATAAGAAAGAATTCAGGAGTGGATTTCAAAACGCTTTAAAATGACTGCTGCTGTGTCGACGGCAATCACATGACAAAAAAAACCCACAATGACTTTCTACCTGTTTGTAATGCTTCCTTTCTTCCAAAGCCACCGCTACATGCAGTAACCATATCCACTCATCTTTTTGTTCGTGGCTTGCAAAAAAAAAACACTGTACACTGCTCTCGATCCATTGTGGCTCTGACAACTTAGACTGCGATTTATGGAGGCAAACTGGCTCGCAGCAAATTGGATAATGCAGCGAGGAAATTTCTGGGGTTTCTATTTGCAGTCGTTTATAGAGTTTACACATTCGCAGACGCTCTTCCTCCACAACCATATTGTCTCATTTGGATTTTTTTTGTTGTAACAAAGCGTCTCCTATTTCTTCCTCTCTGTGTCCAATGCATAAACTCCCCAGCGGCTCACCCCTTGAAATTGCCTCATGTTTATTTAAACTCAGAGGGGCGGCAGTGGAGCGCCTGGTGCCCCATTCGTTGTTGTTTTTTTTTTTTCTTCTACTCTCTCTCTGTGGTGTTTTCTTATAGCCAGCCAACCCCGGAGCCATTCATCAGCCGGGGCTTAAGTGTAGCTACAGCGCAGAGGGCTAAACAGCACTTCACCACAATGAGTGTGACATCAACTCTCCACACAAACCAGCGGGTGTGTCAAAGAAAAGAGAGCACAATTACAGAGAAGAGGGAGAAGGAGAAGATGTGCAGAAATGACCACGAGTCAAAAGAGAGAGAGACAGTGTCAGTCATGAAGTTTCTAATTTTGGCATTTCTGGCTCGAGCACTTTGTTTTTATGCTACGAGCACGAGCTGGCTGAAGACCGACGAGTGAGAGACAGAAGAGCTTTTTGAATTAGCACAGACTGCACTCCACTCTCGCACAGAAAATATCATGCACAGAAATAATGAGCAGGAGAGTTAAGAGCCGAGTCCAAACAGGGAATCAAAGCAGCGCTGACTATTAGCATATTGTTTTTTTTTCCTCTACAATTAAAGCTCCTCTGACTGATACACCTTTACTATTTAATCTTAACGTCCCTTCATACAAAATATCCACACACTGAAAGGAAACAGTTTCAGAAATCACCTCCCCTCCAAAATATGGATTAAAGAGAGAGGGACTCGCATCGCGGCTGAGTGGTTGAAGAACAACAAAGGGAGCTCGGGCAGAGATCCAAATGAGAGGAAAGATGAAGATATGAGAGATGAAAACCAAGAGGAGGAGGAACGAGAAGAAAGGACGAGGAATTGGCAAACACCGACTTCCAGCTGTGCCACACTGAGTCACATCTTTAAAAAGCCTAAAAATCACCAGAAACTTCATTAAAAAAAAAGGGAGAATGAAGAAGAGTCCACACACACAGCAGTAGTGAATATATCTATATATATATTTTAATATATATATATCCTCTTTTATTTTAATATTTAAACCCACTAAAAAGTTGTCAATACAACTTTTTGAATGAAAGGCACAGGAAAAATCAGACAATGCTGATATAATACTCCAAAGGAAAAGTACAGTACAAAAGTGGACAGTTAGTTCAAAACGCAAGAATCCCTCCAGGTTCAGGTTGGACGTCCTCCAGGAACACAGGAAACAAGAACGGTGTGAGACACAACGAGAGAGGCGAGGGACTGAAAAGGAAAAGGGGGGTCGGGGGGGGGGCTTTAAAGTCAGAAACCCTATTAGCCAAACTTCTCTTTATTGCTGTTTCCTAACTGACAAGGGGGTGACGTCAGCCGCCCAGGTCCAGCGCAAGACCTAAAAATAATTAAAAAAAAAAAAAGCAACTGCTGAGTTTTTAGTTTTCCCCCGTCAGATGGAGCGGCTCAGATTTAGGTGATTGTTGGCCGATGCTACAAAGCTCTCCGTCGGGCAGTTCTACACACACAGGAAGTGGGATTTTCTTTAAAGGCAGGGTTGGTCATTTTCCTCCAGATCCACTTTTTAAGATTCTGGTGTAAATTGTCTTTAGGTCCTGACAGAAATTAATAACTCATGTTCTCTGAAAAAGGAACAAAGAGAATCCATCATCTGTATCAGTTTGTAAGTCTGTAAAACCTTCAACCAATGTCTGCCACGAGGTACCAATCTGATGAACCAATCAGACGCCTCCCTGTCTCCCTGCTCGCTCTCTACCTCGTGTGCACGAGACCACACTCAAAGCATGAGCTGAGGTCCGCTTCTGGACCAACAGCGCTCGTGCATGTAAGTGAGGGGGCGTGGCTTTAGAGGGAGCACAGAGGGAATGCTACTTTCAGAATCATGCTAGTTTTCAAAACATTACCAACCCTGCCTTTAAGGTTATTTGACTCTTCCCCTGTCGTTTCTAAATTTATATTTGTCATAATGCTTTAAATTTCTCGGCTCTCCGTGTAGCGAGTGTAAAAAAAAAAAAAGAAGAAGAAAGAAATTTCAGGGCCGCAGAATTTCAGAGAACGGGTCAGGTCAGCGAGGAGATCTTCATTCTGGACATGAACGTGACGGAGCTTCCTGCACCCAGCAGGAGAAGTTTAACCAAAGGATTCAGTTACAGACATTTATGGAGAATCTGGCGCTGGAGGTCACTACTATGCTGCGTAAAAAGCGCTGGTTGTACGCTCGGGAGTGTTTTGCATGAAGCGTTTGTGCTCTGAGAAGAAAAGCGCTGCACGTCCGTCCTGTCTCCATGACAACAGTGTGTTGATAACGGTTGCCGCTGTATGACCGACACGGCTTTTTACTGCATGTTTTATATTTGAGATCATTTTTTACCTCTTGGCACACGGAGCAAAGAGGATGTGAGTACAAGATATGATCTGTAGGAGGCTAAACTACGGGGAATATCATATATGTGGGAAAGAGCGGCGGTGATGTCATCAGCGCTTTTCTGAAAAGTTGAAAGATTTTCAACTTGAGCGCTCGGAGCGGCCGCACAAAAACATTAGAGCGCTTGGAAAAAAGACACTGGGATGCTCTCTACTCATTTAAAACTCCTGAAAAAAGACACTGGGATGCTCTCTACTCATTTAAAACTCCTGAAAAAAGACACTGCCGCTGAGGAAAGAAAACGCTAGGTGGACGCAGGCTTTTTTTTTTTTTTTTTTAAACTCCTCTTAAGAATCATTTCATCTCCCTGTTTCATTTTTGGTTGAAGAAGAACGTCTTTATTCCTTTTCTGGTCATCGTTTATCAATTATACGGGAGGCTGACAAAGCAGAGGGGGTCGTTTTGATTTGTACACATCTGGATTGGAGTTGTTCTCGCAAAAACATTTCACAACAGAAGAATCAGTAAGCAGGCCGTGGAGCTCTGACTGTGGACACATCGCAGCTCTACTGGGGGTCGACTGGAGGGAGAAGTGCCGTCTCTGTACCGCTCAGGGTTCTTAATATTACATATAGCCTCTTTGGTATAGGCACATCTGCATCAAGGGACACACCACTGTTCAGTTATTCCCTTTCCTTTTCCTATGTGCAGCAGTCTCACTCTCTGTTTCCAATTATATGAAGGAAAAAAAAAAACACATATAGACAAAAAGAGATGATTGCCACAATCCTGGAACCTGGAAATCAAGTGATTGATTGAAGAAGCAGGAAATTAGACTCATGTGACCGTTGAGGGGGATTTTCTTTTTTCCTCGTGCATGAACCCCCCCACACCCCGCCCCCCCCCCCCCGCCTCTCCTTTCTACCTGCTGTGAGCTGGGCCTGACAGCAGGAGATTCATGCTACCTTTACCTTCACTGCAGCCATGCTACAGAGAGAGAGAGAGAAGAAATAAAACGCAGCAAACAAAAAATGTAAACGCACCAATCTACGGAAATCCAGCCCTGAAAAGAATTTTCAAAAAAAGAAAAAACAAGACCCCCTGGGGGCTAAAATGAGACAGGTATTCAAGAGTCAATGTCATGAAACACAACAGTTCACAGATCGGAGACTAAACAGGAGGATGGATGTGGTCAGGGCTGTGCCTCGTTGTTGCATGGATGCTCTGGTTAGCTTTAGCCCGGGTCCAGTGAGTGATGCGTTTACCAGAGCCCTTTCTCCCCTCCCCCCCTTAAGGATGGGAGCCCACCCAGGGAGAGCAGAGGTTACCTCTATCCCCTCTCCATCCTGGTTCTAAGCAGAATCTCTTAGCGCCACACTCCTCTTTCATAGTCAGGGAACAGCAAGAGCTTGAGCAAATCTTGCTTTGAAGTTTTGAGTCTTACACTTCCTGATGCAAGACCATGAACACCTTCCAGTTCCAGTGCACAAAAGGGCGGGCGAATGACATCATGTACAAGAACCAGGATCTCAAGAGTCCGGGGGATAAAGAGTTCAGGATCCAGTCTGTCAGTGCGTCGGGGCTAACGCCGACTCCTTTTATTACCTGGCTGAGGCCGAGGAGGAGGAGGCGGCGGCTAGCTGTGTGAGGTATTCGCGCAGCTCCTTCGCGGCTTGGAAGCGGCCGTAGCGCTTCTTAGGTCTGGTGCACTCGTCCAACAGCGCCTCCAGTTGTCCGTCTTTGGATATGTGGGCAGGGGGGTCGTGGAGGAGGCCTCCGGTGGTGCCCCGCCACGTAGCATACCGCGACAGCAGGTTCTGGCACACGGCGTAGTAGTTGTGGTCCACGGTGACCCGGGAGCAAAGCGAGTCCTTGGAGAACGAGAGGCAGGCCTCCCTGTCGCACTCCTCGAAGCGACTCTCGTACCACACGTCGTAGTTTTCTGGCTTGTCTGCGAGGAGACGGAGAGACGGTTAAATGAGGGATAAAAACAAGCTGATCATACTTCTGTTCACATTTTTTTCTATTGTATGTTTTGTTTTCACATATTTATACATTTATTTATTCTATCATCATAATCTTACTCATTTGTTTCTTAAATTATGTGCGTATGTATATGTATGAAGTGTGTATATATATATATATATATATATATATATATATTAGTTATTATTATCATAACTATTTCTATTTATTTCATTTTATTTTATTTATTTTATTTTATTTTATTTTATTTTATTAATTTAATTTAATTTATTATTATTTGTATTTTTTTCCTTTACAAGGGGTGTTTGTACTGTTGTTGTTAAGGGGTGTTGTGTTCCCCTTCACGCATGTTGCATTACTTTCTTGTCACCTGACGCTGGATGCTTGTGTGCTAATACTGCTACATGAACGAGTGTAATGGCTACAATTAATGCAAAAAATCAATAAAAGTTGAAACTGTTGAAATAAAAAACAAGCTGATCATAAAGTAGTCAATAATATGAATAGAGTTGAAGGTGCTGAACATTCATTGTGAATATGTAAAAAGCTTTTATTGGGTCATAAGCTTCTTTTTCTTACAGCTTTTCATGAGCTGAATATTGAATACTCTCTCCTGGAATGATCCTGTTTACCTGAATGTGTCATTAAAACAAGAAGCTGCATTACACAGGGAGTCTCGCTGATTGAACGTGATTACTGTCTGCCTCTGACAATCACAAATAACGATTTCTCAAGGTTTCTCACAAATGATGACCCACCCCTCCAAAAAAAAAAAAAGAAAGATAAACGTGAACAGAACCTGACCGAGCCGTGAAGCGTTTTTTTTTTTTTTCTCGACACTAACTGGAAATTATTTTTTCAGAGCACACGGCCAAACAACTCATCTACAGTTTTATTAGACAGAAATGAACCACTTTCTTGATTTATTGAGCAAATAAAAATCTCTCTCCAGCTCATTTCACATTGCTTTTTCTGTCTTCAGAGGATTGTGTTGCCGGGGAAAGGAGGAGAGCCAAGAAAATAACCTGGGATGATGAGAGACCTATTGGTTTGTGCATTAAAAAACAGATCAATAACATTGTTGTGGAGGGGGGGAGGATGCAGACCCAGAGGATGCAACACACATAATCAGTGTATCAGGCTTGTAATGCACTTCTTCATCTGCCGCCTCATCAGAACAACTCAATCAAACATGCAGTGCTGCCCTGTTACCGAGGGCCCCCTGGTGCACCCCCCCCTCCCCCTGAGGAGGAGGGGCACATCAACCTCAATCAGTGTGGGTGATGAAGATGGATCTGCTGCTGCCTGTGTACGCATGCGACGAGCACACACACACGCACACACGCACACACACACACACACACACACACACACACACACACACACACACACACACACAGAAGTATAATGGACGCGTGCAAGCAGCAAGGTGAGGTGAAAGCAATTAATGTTTCAGAGCCGGCCGTGCATCACACCTCGGCAATGATTGACAGATGGCACCAGGAGAGTGTCCTGTTCTTCTTCTCTAACACAAACACACAGATGTAGACACACACACACACACACACACACACACACACACACAGCAGGCAGGCAGAGCGCCTAAAAAAAGAACAAGAAGCAAAAGGGAAAGGTTCAAACTCAAGGGCGAAGATGAGCAGTGAAAGACAAAGAAAGTCTAAAAAAGAAAGTCTATTTACTTGCACCACAATCCCTCCCTCTGTTTCCATTCTTTTCTTTTATGCAGGCCGGAGAGTAACAAAGCTCCCAACATTTCCAAAAGCAAAAAGGAAATCATTTCCAATTCAAATGAGTGGGGAGAGAGAGCAGGGTGGAAGAGGTAGCTCTCCTCTCATCTCCTGTGTATCCGGTACCTTCCATGTTAAGGAGCTCAGGATGGTATACATTCACCTCACTCCCCCTGCCTTCCTTGCGGCCGCACCGAGGAGGGACGCCGGGCCCTGAAATGCTTGTTAGCGTGGCCTTACGAGTGGCATTCAGAAGTACGAGGCGGTTTTAACAATGCATGCCTGTGTTTGAGTGCATTATTGAATGTGAGAGATGGAGAGACCTGTGTGTGTGTGTGTGTGTGTGTGTGTGTGTGCGTGTGTGTGTGTGTGTGTGCGTGTGTGCGTGTGTGCGTGTGTGTTTAGAGTCCAGCTGCTTGAATGTGTGTTTGTATAAAGCCAGCGAGCAAACTGTGTCCGGGAGAAGAGAATGAGGAGTGAAGTGTGTGTTACATTATACAGCATGTGTTTCCAAAAAACATCCTCCGATGCTGCAAACTCAACGATGGACGAATGGTTTCCTTTCACACCGCTGGACCGTGCAAACACACGGCGCCCGAGCACAACTTCAACACGGCGCCCGAGCACAACTTCAACACGGCGCCCGAGCACAACTTCAACACGGCGCCCGAGCACAACTTCAACACGGCGCCCGAGCACAACTTCAACACGGTGTGTGTTTTTATCTCAACAACAATGGCGGCATCAAGTGCTGACGAGAACAGCAGGTTATCAGCTATCTTTGGTTCCTCTTGGTCTCAGCTCGTGTTGTTGGGTTCTTGTGATGGTTCTTGTGATGGTTCTTGTGATGGTTCTTGTGATGGTTCTTGTGATGGTTCTTGTGATGCCTGGGTTCTTGTGATGGTTCTTGTGATGGTTCTTGTGATGGTTCTTGTGATGCCTGGGTTCTTGTGATGGTTCTTGTGATGGTTCTTGTGATGGTTCTTATGATGGTTCTTGTGTTGCCTGGGTTCTTGTGATGGTTCTTGTGTTTCCTGGGTTCTTGTGATGGTTCTTGTGATGGTTCTTGTGATGCCTGGGTTCTTGTGATGGTTCTTGTGATGCCTGGGTTCTTGTGATGGTTCTTGTGATGGTTCTTGTGATGGTTCTTGTGATGGTTCTTGTGATGCCTGGGTTCTTATGATGGTTCTTGTGATGGTTCTTGTGATGCCTGGGTTCTTGTGATGGTTCTTGTGATGGTTCTTGTGATGCCTGGGTTCTTGTGATGGTTCTTGTGATGGTTCTTGTGATGGTTCTTGTGATGGTTCTTATGATGGTTCTTGTGTTGCCTGGGTTCTTGTGATGGTTCTTGTGTTTCCTGGGTTCTTGTGATGGTTCTTGTGATGGTTCTTGTGATGGTTCTTGTGATGCCTGGGTTCTTATGATGGTTCTTGTGATGGTTCTTGTGATGCCTGGGTTCTTGTGATGGTTCTTGTGATTCCTGGGTTCTTGTGATGGTTCTTGTGATGGTTCTTGTGATGGTTCTTGTGATGCCTGGGTTCTTGTGATGGTTCTTGTGATGGTTCTTGTGATGGTTCTTGTGATGGTTCTTGTGATGGTTCTTGTGATGCCTGGGTTCTTGTGATGGTTCTTGTGATGGTTCTTGTGATGGTTCTTGTGTTGCCTGGGTTCTTGTGATGGTTCTTGTGATGGTTCTTGTGATGGTTCTTATGATGGTTCTTGTGATGCCTGGGTTCTTATGATGGTTCTTGTGATGGTTCTTGTGATGGTTCTTGTGATGGTTCTTGTGATGCCTGGGTTCTTATGATGGTTCTTGTGATGGTTCTTGTGATGGTTCTTGTGATGGTTCTTGTGATGGTTCTTGTGATGCCTGGGTTCTTGTGATGGTTCTTATGATGGTTCTTGTGATGGTTCTTGTGATGGTTCTTGTGATGGTTCTTGTGTTGCCTGGGTTCTTGTGATGGTTCTTGTGTTGCCTGGGTTCTTGTGATGGTTCTTGTGATGGTTCTTGTGTTGCCTGGGTTCTTATGATGGTTCTTGTGTTGCCTGGGTTCTTGTGATGGTTCTTGTGATGGTTCTTGTGATGGTTCTTATGATGGTTCTTATGATGGTTCTTGTGTTGCCTGGGTTCTTGTGATGGTTCTTATGATGGTTCTTGTGATGGTTCTTGTGATGGTTCTTGTGTTGCCTGGGTTCTTGTGATGGTTCTTGTGATGGTTCTTGGGATGGTTCTTATGATGGTTCTTGTGATGGTTCTTGTGATGGTCTGGTTCTATATGTCTGTTGGGTATCGTGCACTTTGGGTTCTTTTCTGTTGAATTGTATTTAATTATTTTTAGTATTTTACATTTGTTATGTTCTTGTTGTTGTTTATGTTCTTCTGTGTTTGGTTTAGTTTGTTCTTGTTTTTGCTGTTTGTCAAAGCACTTTGAAAACCTGTGTTTTTAAAAGGTGCTATAGAAATAAAGTTATTATTATTATTATCTGCAGGTTCCATCAACTGACCTCAAAACCACACACCTAAACTGGCTTTCAACCAGAGTCTCTAAACTGTCGGGATCGGACTCTGCGAGGTCACCGCCCCCCTTTTTTTTTTTTCTACTTCTACTGTGACCTCGTCAAGACTGATTACCGCCGTCATCCCTCTTCCTCGTGCTGCGCCCCAAGAGACTTGGCACGCGCACAAACACGGTTCCAACACACTAACACAAACACACACACACACACACACACACAAGTGGCACATAAACATTCTTGGGGCTTAAACTCTGAATGGTCTTTAAGCAGCTTGACTTGTCAGGCTCTGAATGTGTCAGACACACAAAGAGAGTCTCAACCTGGACCGGGATTCAGATGTGGCAAAGAGCCGGGGGGTGTATTTACCCACATACACACACACAGCTACATGATGACACATGCATCAGATTTAGCTGAATAACCCTGACTTATATTGGTGTTTTCACACATGCACAAAACTCCTGAAAAAATGTCCCAAAACGTCCCGCTTCATGTGTGAACCCAAACAGCCAAAATTTCTTTCCCAGGCTTTTTTCCTGCCAGACCCCGAGCCAAATGTCACATTTCCGTGTGAAGTCAAGGGATCGAGCCAAAGTGAAAATGAAGCGAGTAAGAGTCCAGAATATTCACCATTCATCATCAGGTGACCAGAGAGATCCTCGTGCACGGACTGAAGCGATTTCATTCTCTTTCCTGCTCGCCAATAAGCTTTCCTCTTCAAATTAAAAAACATTTAATTTAAGAGCAGACACTTTAATTGAAGCGATGGACTTTTGCTTCACTGGCATTATTTTATATCTTGTAAACATCACAACATTTGTCATACTGGTGTGGTATAACATAAAGCTGTATGACAAAAAAAAGTGGAAATGTGAAAGTACCTCGACATGCTGTGAGCGTCTCTTTGCTCTTTTCAAGTGTCATGTCTTGTAATTGGCAAAGCGGCTGTTTACCTCAGGATGAATTTATCAAACTACTTCCCTCCAAGTCCACACACACACACACACACACACACACACACACACACACACACACACACACACACACACACACACACACACACACACACACACACACACACACACACACACACACACACACACACACACACACACACACACACACACACACACACACACACACACACACACACACACACACACACACACACACACACACACACACACACACACACACACACACACACACGTTTATATCTGTCACAAGGCACAATGGTGGAACCTCAACAGCAAGCGACAAAACAGTTTATCACTTTAATAGGATTTCAGCAGGAAGGGACAAATCTCAGAGCCCGACTGGGTGGTCGTCCCTCTCTTTGAAGCCCCAGCACTCGGGGGGGGGGGGGGGGGCTCAGGGTCGGAAACGGCCACACCGAGTATGTGATGTATAACTCTCTCTCTGTCCTTGTTATTATGAGGTTTATTCTGAGAGGCATACACAAAAAAAATAAGTAGGGCAGCAAGAGATGGCTTGCTATCCAAACGATCTTCTTTGCTTTGATTTAAGGTAGCGTGTCGGGGGGGGGGCGGATGTTCTCGGCCTGGGCTAGCAGCGCGGCCCTCGGTCCCTTGAGACCTTTCCTCCAACCTTAGTCACTACAGCTGTGGTCTGCAGTCATAGTCAGGACCCGAGTGGAATTTTACGTCATGTTTCAGAGTGTAAAAAGCAGAAAACCATGATAGAGGTTTATGTTCTGAGCTGTATACGTGTTAACATAGAACACGGGGTCGTCATGGCAACGACGGAGATAAAAAGCAAATTTTCACCCACACACAAATATTAGTACAGGTAACAACGATCCCGTTCACTCACTCTGCTTGATCAGCCTCTTATCCGCCACCAGGACGTTCTCGGCGTCGACGACGATGACCTTCCCGTCGCGCGGGCCGACGGCGAAGTTGTCGAAGCTGACGTCAAGCAGGTAGAGGGCGAAGTCGAAGTCGTTGTTGGTGAGCTGCTCGGCGATGTCCATGAGCTGACGCGCCAGGTCCACCCGCTTCTCCCAGGGCGCGTTGTAGAAGCTCCACAGCTCCTCGCCCACGTAGTTGACGGCCACCATGCGCCCGCACGCTCCCAGGTACTTGGCGAACGGCCATCCTTCGTCGGAGGGAAAGCTCTGGGAGGAAGAAGAAGAAGAAGAAGAGATTTAAAAGAAGTTTGTGAAACGTAGAGCTGGCTGGAAGAGAAACAGAAAATAACAAAAAATGTGAGAACTTCACAATATTTGTGAAACTTACAATTTCTAAAAGAAAATGGTGTAAAAAAAAAAAAAGATACATCTCACATGCCAAACACAACGCTGCCGTGTGCAATAGTTGAAAATCTGCCAAAGGATCACATGAAGCGGAGCCAGCTCGGGGTATAATGGATTCAATTTAATAAAAGAAAAGCGCCGGTTTCTGCTCGAGCCCTACAGCTACAAGCTGATGCACGCCGCTCTCCTCAGTGCGCCCGGAGAACTGATAGGAGGTGATTTGTGGAAAGCTGTTAGCAGCAAAAGTCTTATGAGATGTGATGCAGAAGAGGGGCGATTTCTAAAACTGCTGCATGATGTCGGCTAACCGGAGTTAATGCAGTTTGGGCAAACTGACAAGATGTTTCTGTGTATTACAGGTTTTCATCTGATAATAATTAGGTACGACCGGTAGAGGAAGGGGCAAATCAGTGCTGCCGCCGCCGCTGCTCCTGCACGATGTTCTAATCTTGTTTCGGGTTTTTACTCGACTTGAGCTGAAACTCAAAACGTGCACACATGCATCATCACGTGCATCTTCAGAGTCGAGAGCTGAGGTTTGCAGAGGCTCAAACACAAACTCAGACACGTTGAAGGAGTCGGTTTTGAAGCAGCTGGTGTAACACAGTCTGTATGTCTTTCTCTCCTCATGTGCTCTCACACTTTTTCTAAATCACTTCCTTCCCCCTCCTGGTCGATTTTCATCACCACCAGCTGTGGACAAATTAATGGAAAATAATATAATGAAACCTCCCTTCTTCTTTTTTTTTTTCTTTTTTGTGTAGCCAACAGAAGTTTTGCTACAAGTGATAAGCTCCCATCTTTTTACAATAAACTCTCCTGCCATAGGCTTCCATCTTTTACAATAAACACGCAGCCATATGTCGGCTTAATGATAGCCCAACAACTCGTATGTAACAAATCTCTCCGAGGCTGCAGTTTCTGGCAGACAGCCGCGGACACAGACAGAGAAAATCAGGAGCGCTCATGTTTCACTGTTTCTCTCTCTCTCTTTCGCTCTCTCTGAAACCCGACTGCATCCGAGATATGGCGGCCGGGGGGGGAAACACATCGTGCCTCTGCAGGTAAGGTGTGAACTATTACGTCTTGTTGTGTTTCAAAATAACACCAACAGCCACTCAATACCTCTGCAGGTTTCAGTCGAGGTTGAGAGGGGAGGATTTTTTGAAATATGCAAAAGGCTGCCCAGAACTCGACTCAATCTTTAATGAAATACAAATTATTTAAAAGACATACATTTTAACCAGCTCCCTTTCACCCTCATCCAGGCATGCATCTGCTGTATCCTCAAAACAAACAGCTGGACGTCTGCAGCATGGACACAAAGGGCTGCTCTTTGTCAAAGAAACCACAGCTCTGTGTTTGGATGACTGTGCAGCTATGTGCAGGTTCACAGTTGCACCATTAGCCAGCGTTGAGACATTTTTTATCTCTGACACTACACGGCTCTTGCGCTCCTTTATTACATTCCTTGACTAGGCTCTGAAATTGCAAAGTGTACAAAAAGAACCAAAGAACAAGATGCAACAAGCTGAATGCAATTCTCAGTGAATGCTGAGATACGGGGTATTTGATTGGACAAAAACAACTTCGAAATAGTTTTAAGGAAGAAAGAGAAAAGAAAATACTTTTTACAATATACACAGAAACAGACTTTGACAGTTTATCCCGTTCTGCTGCAGAGGTGTAAATCTATACCTTAGGCGGATGTCTTGTTCCCATCTGTTTTCAGGTAAGACCCAGCACCGACAGCGGGGAGGACAATGATAAGTTTGCACACGATGCAGTTTCTTTTTGGTGGAGCCTGTTCCCCTGAGGTGACCCAATCAATTGTGGGCCAGACAGGAGTCTGTCCAGGAAGCACTAGTCGCTTCCAGCAGCCCGTCTGTCTGTGCCTCTAAGTCCTAAGACTTGGCAATGACTCACCTCAACTCCAGCTTAAAAACTCTAGGGTTAAAAGCCTTCCTCTACATTTACAGCACACTTGACAGGAGAAGGAGTCTGAGGAGGTAGGAGGTAGGAAACAAAAGGATAGTGGTAGCCTAGAGTACAAGCTGGAAAGGAGGACAATCCACCACTACTGGGATGTTTCCAGCCAATGAGCGATTTTCCTGGATTAAAGAATAAACGGGCTAAATATCTAAAAATGGCCATCTAAATTTCTGAAGTTTGGTATAGAAAGATTAGGCTGGAGCTGGATCAGTTGGCGGTTCATCCCTATTAGACCGGCTTCCCTTTGACCCACATTGAAACCTGCAGATCGCTTTATGTTGCTGTGAATCTAAGCGGCTCTCGGTCTTGTTGACAAAACTTAGCATGTCCAATTTAACGGCTAAACCTGCTTTGTGAAAACGCCATCCTGTCTCTCTGAGCCCTGCAGGGCGGATGGATGGATAGATGTGGAGACGGTGGTGGTGTGGGATCCAGAGGAGAGAGAGAGAGAACACGATGGAGACGGCAAACAGAAGAGACAAACAGAGTGTCTCTGGCTCCTCCGCTCCACTGGACAGGAGGAATAAACCAGCAAAGACCTGCCTGCTAAACACATCTCTGTCTTTGTTGTCAGGTTGCAGCTTGAATGGGCGCAAAAGTAGAGCGGCGACGGCGGATGGAGGGGAGTGGGTGTGCTTGTTGGAGGGAGAGAAAAAGGATGAATGCCCAGGGGCTACTTCCAGACTCTGTCAACGACTGTTATACCTTCATGTCTGTCCGGCCTTTGTCCACCGTTCTTAACATAGGTGTTGCTCATTCAGCGCTCCGACAGCCTCATTGCACCTTCTTCAATTACCGAGCTCTTTGACAACTCATACCTACGTGTCATTTTTACGAGCTTCCTATATTTCACTTTCATGGGCTGGTGAGTCCAAAAGGTGGGAACTGACTGAGCAGTGTTGGCAGGCACATGGAAGTGGGCACCTGAGCTTTTTTTTTTTTTTTTGGGGGGGGGGGGGGGGATTCAGACTCACCTATCGCAGAGGGGTTGATAAATACTCCACGTGTTCCCACCAATCATTCTCCCTCCCTTAGCGCTCTTTAAGCGGTTACTCTGCAGAAGTCATTAACGTCTGCAATGAGGCGTTGTGAGGGTGGCGGGGGCCGTTGGATGAAATAAATTGGAAAAAGCCAAACCCTGATGTTACATCCACTGCACTGCATCTGTGAAGCTACTGTATGCATATGTGTGTGTGATTATATGTGTGAGTGCGCTGACTTTAAACCAGTCATCATCTAGTAATGTTATGCACATTGAGGAATGCTGAAGGTGCAAAAATCTGCCAATGACACATCCCGGTGACTTTTACTGCTGTGAAAGGTCTTATCACGTTCCTGTTCCTGTCATTGGATAAAGCCTTTTATCTCCCGCTTAGCAAAAAAACATTCATTTACAGAACCTGGTGCCTCGTGCTCTTCTTATTTTCTGTACATGACTCTGGACAGGTGTGCTCTCTGTCCCCAGAGTCAGACCAAACACGGAGAAGCAGCGTCAGTTTCTGTGCTCCTTATATCTGGAACAAACTCCCAGAAAACTGCAGGTCTGCTGAAACTCTCAGCTCTTTTAAAATCAAGGTTGAAGACTCACCTGTTTACAGCCTTTAATTAAACAGCTTTAAAGTTCTATGTGATTTTTTACACTTAATGTAGATCAAGTATCTCCTCTGAAAAAACTCTGTGAGTCATGACTGTCTACAATGGGTGTAACACCCGAGTCCCACTGTCTGTGATTTTTCAGAGTTTCAGAGTCCTATCTTCACTTTGTTTACATCGCCAGGACGGCCGGCTGACTCCTCCCCTCGTGTATAAAAGTTGTTTAATTGAGGGACTAGAGAAAAGAAGAATAACATACTGTACTCACTGCTTAACTGTGTTTCTAGATCACGCTCATTTCAGGTAAATTTACATGCAGTGTGAAGATACCAGCATAATAAAGATCGCTAGCATTAGCATGCTAACACAACAATGCAGTGAGTTGTTTTGGTTTTCATGCTGCTCAAGGGCGACATCTGCTGGATCAAAAACATCACATATAAAGACTTAAGCAATTTTAATAAGATTTTTGCACTGTAACTTTTAACTCTTGATATTTTTACTTTATTTATTTCAATTAATTTCA